CCTTATTTCCCATTCAAGATTACAAATCCTGATATCCTTCCTAGCTTTCAAGTTCCAATCTTCTCATGGGTCACCCACATGTGCTGCATGCATATTTTGTTATACAATTCATAATAAACAGTTTTGTTTTTATAACACCAGGGTCATCAAGGCCATGGCCACACACTTCATTCTCATCATCACTCCCAAACGAAACCATAGATACAAAGCTTTGTAAAGACACCAGTTGCATCAAAATAGCCTCTTCAGATTACGGAAATATCATTCAAGAACTCCCTTTCGGCGTTCTATATCCTTCCTCAGTTTCCGATATCAAACACCTGGTTGAATCCTCTTACAATTCTACTACTCCTTTCACTATCGCAGCCCGTGGCAATGGGCATTCAGTTAGGGGACAAGCCATGGCTAAAGATGGGGTGGTGGTGAATATGGGATCGATAAGTAGTAATGAAAATAAAAGGATTTCTGTTTCTGGAAACTCTTCTGTAGGGTTTTATGCAGATGTGGGAGGTGAGCAGCTGTGGATCAATGTCTTGGGGACGACACTTGAGCATGGACTCGCACCAGTTTCGTGGACGGATTACTTGTATCTTACTGTTGGTGGTACGCTCTCTAATGCAGGAATTAGCGGACAATCATCATTCCATGGTCCTCAGATTAGCAATGTTCTTGAAATGGATGTCATTACAGGTATTTTATGAAATCCATGTCATTACTATACTAATATATATATATATATATATATATATATATATATATATATATAATTTAGTTACCTATCATTTAAGTTTAGGAAAAATGATATTTATTTCACACTTGTGAGTACATAAAAAGTTGAATTTACAAGAGAGTAAGCTTTACGATTAATATGTAGAAGTAGTTAAAAAGTCATGTTTATAAATACTAATAAACAGTAGGCTTAAAAAAAAGTCCACCCTAAAAAACGTGTAAATTTGAAATTTTAATATTTTATTAATTTCTTCAGACTTAAAAATGTGAAGGGTTAGATGATTTGTCGTGTGAACTGTGAAGTCTTAAACTAGATTTTTCATTTTTTTTATAGTTGTGTAACTAATAGTTATATCATCATATGTAGAACTGGTTGACTTGACTATTTTAAAAATGTTCGACTAGCTTGTTTACTTTGTAAATTTAGTTAAATATCTTACTTTTGCTTATTAATTAATCCATGGGTCTAAATTGATATATTTTCACCTAAATGAGTTGAAATTGACGATTTACGAACTATAATTTTTTTGTCTTATTTACAGGGAAGGGGGATTTCATTACTTGCTCCAAAAACATGAACTCTGATCTCTTTTATGCTGTTCTTGGTGGTCTTGGCCAGTTTGGGATCATAACTAGAGCAAGAATTGTTCTAGACAAGGCACCAAACAGAGTAAGAGCATGTCGATCTTACATCATTTTCGAGTTTGTTGCACAATTATTGATGATTATTAACACAAAAGAATAAGTTTGTTTCGTGATTTCTTCTTTTTGTGTATCATAGGTGAAATGGGTACGAACAATTTACAAAGATTTTTCCAAATTCACGAAGGATCAAGAGCATTTGATCTCAATTGATGGGTTCGATTATGTGGAAGGCTCTTTGATCATGAAAAATACTCCTGCTAGCGATTTTTTCTCACCTTCTGATGAATCCATGATAAACTCGCTGGCATCTGAAAATGGCATTTTATACAGCTTAGAAGCAGTTAAATATTACGATGATCATATCATAAACACCATTGATGAGGTTGGTATATTAATATGATGATTTTTAAATTGTTCTCAGTAAATTCTAAAATTTTATTCTTTTTGTAGGAACTTGAAATGATATTGAAAGGATTGAGCTTCGAATCTGGGTTTCTTTTCAAGAAAGATGCAACTTTTTTCGATTTTCTGAATAGAGTAAGAGATGAAGAGCTTCTGCTTCAATCAATAGGGCTATGGGATGTCCCTCATCCATGGCTAAATCTCTTCATTCCAAGATCAGGAATTATGGATTTTAATGAAGGTGTTTTTGTCGATATTATTCAGAAACAAAACAGGAGTAGCTCAGGGCCATTCCTCGTCTACCCAATTAACCGAAAGAAGTAATTATTGATTAATCACATCATTAAAGAAATAACCATATTTAATCTTCCAATGTTTACAAATCTACTTAATTTCTTGAAAAAATTCAGGTGGGATGATAATATGTCAGTTGTTATACCAGAAGATGATGAAGATATGTTCTACACCGTTGCGTTATTAAACTCGGCTAAGGATTACAAAGATTGGGTGATTATGGATGAACAAAATACGGAGATTTTAAAGTTTTGTGATAAATCTGGGATCAAGGTCAAGCAATACTTTCCACATTATGGAAAGAAAGAAGAATGGATGAAGCATTTCGGCAAGAAATGGGATATCTTTAAAAAGAGGAAAGCTCAGTTTGATCCAAAAATGATACTCTCTCCTGGACAAAGAATTTTTAATTCTGAATGAAGTTTTTATATGTAGTAACTATTTTATGTCGGATTTATGTATGAAAAATAATTTAGGTAATGCACTTTAGTTATTTAAATGTTATAAGAATAATATATTAATTATGGATGGAGAACACTATTGTAGGGTTAATTTATTGTAATATTGGCATGACCCCATATATTAATATATATGTATGATATATATACTTTTTGAGAATTAAGTCGTTACTCACGAGTCAAAGAGCTTTTGATATAAACCTTAATTCTTGTTTCCCATAAAGCCAACACCCATGACCCAGCACCCCCACATCCCCTGCCCACCAACACACAAAACCCAAAATCAGTCATGAAATTTATTAAAATTTCTTTTTTTAAAAGTTTATTTGTTTCGTTTTCAAATCTATAAGATCTATCCAACAAATAAAAGGTTTCGTAATAAATTCAAAAAATACTTCATAATTTTGAAAATTGCCTAAGATTCCCTTTTCATTAACTCCAAATGACAATATTTTTTGTAAAAATGGAGTGCCTAAAATAATTTCATTGTGGGACATATTCTTAATTATTGTAAAGTTTAGTGGAATACAAACTCTATTATTACAAATCTTTGCATTAGACAACTTATAATTGATATCCAATTTCTTTCCACTGACGGTGCGAATCACATGGGTGGATTTTTCAAAATATTTCACAGGAATTAAACCTTCCTGTATACAGTTTATATCTGCTCCACTGTCAACAAGAACAATAAATTCTTTTTTATAATATTCTCCAATTATTAATTTTATTTTGACGTACCATTTTTGTGATATAACTAATTTCATAGCACTTAAAAATTCATCAGACTCATTATTTGAAGCTGATGTCTTAATATTATGGGATTCTTTTTCAAGAGTAATAATTCTATTTTCTAACTTATTATAATTGTTTTTTAGAAAAATAATTTCATTTTTCAAATTATTA